GCGGGTTCGCACGATACCGCGGTGAGTAGGACTGTATGATAATTAAGTTACTAGTTTTTGTTTTTTTAATTTCTTTAATGTTATAATAATATTATAATCTATATCTATATATAATTAAAACAAAATTAATGTTTACTCTGTAAGTACTAGGAACACACAAAAGCTCCTAGACCAGTTAATTCTTGTACAACAAAATCCTAAAAACACAAAATCTGATTTCCGTCAAGTGTTTATTAAAGAAAGATTGAATTAAAAGGGTTATTATAATATTAAGTAAATTATGGATAATAATAACTCCTGAGAATGAGGTGATCGCTACCAAACCACTTCTAATAAGTTTTAATGTTGTTAATTGTTGTGTAATATATTGAAAGATTGTAAACTGTTCTTTTTAAAAATAAGTCCGGATCGTTTTCTTGCTGCTTCTTCCCAGGATAGAGATATTTCCTGATCCAGTGGTAAGCTAAACATAAGAGTGAGTTTCAATAGGTATTATTTATAATCTATAATGATTAAAAAAAGTTTAATCCTATTGTAAGGGCAACGTATTGATTATAAAAAAGATTATGTAGTTTCTTCTCCGATGACCGCAATCTTCATCCTTTTAGAACCAAGCAAGCTTCTTGAATTACCATTTTAAGTGGTTTTCTTATACACATATTGAAGTAGGATCTAGTTCTGTCAGTTGTTTGCCAGATTTAAAGTGAAAGCTATCGCGTGTTTATGTTCATGGGATTAGACTCATGGGAAGTATTAGTGTGAATGTTATATCGAATTATTACAAGACTAACGACTTGCCCCGGCTTCGTCTGGATAAGATTTTGTAGCGTTATTTAGATTTAAAATTATTTAACTTTTTTATAATGATTTTTATATTTACGCAAAAACTACACATTTAAATAAAACTAGTTTTATGGATTTTATCACGTATATTAACTTATTTTATATTCCCAACGTTTCGAGTACTTTACAGCACCCATGGTCACAAGGGGGAGGTGTTTGACGTTCTAATGTCATAGTTAACCACGTCTACCTCCAGATTAAAAATAATTATATTTTTTATTCCTATCTACGCAGTATGAACTTGCAATTGTATGCTTGGGTTGGGATTTAATTTTATTAATTATAAGATCCCAAGCAGATGGTAGCACCCCGCCATCTTCTCTATTGAAATGAGGATGTTTCTCGATTTCAACAGCCTCGGGAATCATTCTTGGAAAGAATTGGTGTTCTTTAGCGAGGACTTGTAGTCTATCAAATTTAATGTAGTGATGTAGGCGATCCTGTACGTGTTCACAGACTGCAGACTTCCCGGAGCGTCGATTCTTCACATCAGATGTATGTTTTCGGGTTCATTTTGATCTTTTAGTTTGAGCTGCATCCTGCATCTTGCAGAAGGACCTTACATTTTGTAACGAAACCCCCCCCCATCTTTTTTCTTTTCTACTATATCCCACTTATACTTGTATTTCTTTAGAATCTATATCTGTAAGATATATAAATACATCTAATTTACGTGACCAGTATAACTTGATCTTTCTAAAGGTTTAAATATAGGCCGTTTAATAAATTTATGGCGTGATCGTCTTAGTTAGGACCCTTTTTTACGTTGTGTTTGTATAGTAACTTAGTTCTTTTAGGTGTATCTTGGAAGAATGAATATTCACGAGAGCAATCGAAAGCTGTTGGTAGAGTCTTATAAGCTAAAGAACCCCGTTCACGAAGACAGAGCTCAAAAAGGTTAAGAACAATAAATTGTCCCTATTCCACTTGTATCTGGTTCACAACAGTCAATTCCTTATTAATTAATCCCTTCCCGCTTGGAAAAGGCTCACAATATTTATATCAAATACCAGCTACAAGGGCTTCGCTCTCCCACATTTTAAAAAAAAAATGTGGAGGAGGTACACGGCCCCACACACGCCGCGCACGGTGAGCGCCAACCATTTTAATGCGCTCCCCCCGAAGGGTACGCAAAGTTGGGAACTGGACCGTAGTCCACAGCAAAATAACTGGCGAACCAGTAAAAGAGGACTTGGCCCCTTGATAGTGCGTAAGCACAAACATCGACCGAAGTCGCGCATGTCAATGCGTGTAAACGCCATACAGAATACGATCAAATCCAGTCACAGTGAATGTACGTCACACGGGTTAGGCAACAATAGGCACACTGACCATAAAAAGCCCTCCGTGAGCGCCACCACCTGCCAGACCGCCGTTTCTGCAGACGTGATGTAAGTGTAAGGCGTCACCACCAATTGCATGGTCAGCACGGCCAATTGGCCGCAGAGCGTGTCATGAGTCTACCGCTCACCTCAAGGGAATGGGGTCCCACGTTGCGCGGCTTTCGGCCGCAGCCTTGAGAGCCTCCTCAGATTCTCCCTCCAGCTACCACCCGCATGAGGTCAACACATATGCTCCACCAACCAATACAATGGCAGATATAGCCAATAGGCAGTTATAAGATAATATTAATAATTCGCCATCAGAAAGGGTTTGTGTCACTGACGTTGAGTATATGCATTTTTCGATCATGTTTGTCTCACCCACCAACAAGTTGCCTTCAATCTCTCAAAGGTGGGAACTTTATAGAGATATATTATTAAGTTGTTATATAAAACATCATGGAGGGCAGACAGTCTGCAGCCCCGCAATGAAGGGACCCGACTTGGGCAAAGCTACTTAGGTTGTGAGTCAAACCAAGACGCAGAGAGCGCCATTGAGAATAGCGACCCGCCAAACAACCATCGTAGAGACGCAATGCTACAGAATGCAACAAGCATCAATACGACTATCGTCGGGCTTACACCATCCCAAGGTCCCCCATACAGTCCCAGCAGACATCATCACCCGCATACCTCCATCGACCAGAACCACAAGATGCATCGAATCAGGTGCAGCACACACGCAGATCCATCACAAGACACAATACTGCAAGTAGCAGTAAGCATCAATGCAACTATCATACGGATGGCGCCCCCTCACAACACACCCACATGATCCCTATCGACTTTGGTAACAAAATTTGATAATGTTGTTAACTAAAAATACCACTAACGTATCATAGTAGTACGGTACTAAGACGTCAGTAGCCAATACTCCACGTATCATAGCGCAATTGCACTAAGACATGAAGTTGAGTATGCTTGCTGCACTTAAAAGTACTACCAAACACACTCACCCTAATCCGAAAGATAGCCGACGTATCATAACGCTATGCGCTAAGACGCCGCCCACAACCGGTAGGGGTGTGCGATGTCCACGGGCAAGTCGTATTGCTACAACAAACCCGCTTACCACCGGCACTAAGATGATATGTCTAGGACACATCGGTTAGTGAGTCCAAGTTTACCTCGGTCTCAGAGGCTGCGAAGCAACCTACACGCCACTATAATAATCCTTTTCAAGTCCCATTTCTTTCAATATAATGCTTTTACATATTTGAGACCTTCCACATATTTGCTTTATTTCATAGACCATACTACTGTATGTCTTATTCATATGGGACTTCAAGTCATAACTCTGCTATCATAATGCTTATGCATCATAGAGACCTTCTATATTAATGCTTTGGTTCGTCAGACCTTACTATGTTAAGTCCCTAATATAGGACTAGTCATTGTGCAACCTTAGTACTAGCAGTCGGTCAGCCGACCACCCCATATATATGTACAACCTTGGGTATGTGTCTCCGACAACGCCCCAATATAAGGGAACATTACAAGAACACGTTCATTAACTTAGAAATTTTCCAATTATTACACGAACTCCTTCATCAACTTAGAAAATTTTAATCCATTTTTTCTATTATATTACAAATGTTATTTATCTTTGTTATTGCAATATAATCGCCTTGTATTTATATGATTTGATATATTTTGAACATTTTAAGCAGGTTTTTAATAAATTTAGAGATTTTTTGAGACATTTTATGCGTTTACTAATATATATAATATTCAATATTCCAAATGGATATTTTTGAACTCTATGCTTATTATTTGCATTTTATTGTTTAAATTATAATTTCTATGACATTTTTAAATGTTTGTATAATGAATTTAATTATTATTTATTAATAATAATTATGAGGCGTCACAATCCACCCCCAAATTTTATGTTAATGATCCACATAGTGGAGTCGTTAATATAAAATTTTAGTATTTTGAGAGCATATACACTACACTCAAATAATTGTTTATATATCTGTTCTTTCCTCTTTTAATCTGTTACAATACGGCATATGTTATCAAATACCCCTGCCCCAGGGAATGGCCGCCACCAACACCCCTTCAACCACAATTATCACAATGTGATAACACCATAATTCAAGTTATTGTATATCGTGTTGTTAATAAAGTTTGCAGTCAATTGTCGATTTCTTATTTTATTAATTTATCTTTAAATCTTTGAAACATTATTTCGATAGTGTCACACTTTATGTGCATACAATCCAGTTTGATATTTGTTGAGGTCAGTTCGATACCACATAGGATAAATGTGTTTGAGCCATTCGCCCTGACCCAACTCCCATATTTATTTAATAAAAATGATTACAAAATTATCTTGCGATCTATATTTACAACTCTTCATTATATATTAATAACGTTCTACTATCATATAACAAATCTCTTGCTCATAACTTTAATAATTTTAGACCTTTAACTTAAACAATTATTTCCATGGGCCACCCACAAAACCCTTTTATGTTACAATATTTATTTAATTACTCTAATTTATACAAAAAGAAATTATTATTTAAAATATTTTAATAAGTGAATAGCATTGAAAATTCCTCTAATTTCGTTTGTCTCTGGATTTGCTAAGGTATATACATTGTCAAATGGTACGGCTGCTATTACATAAGGTCCTTCATATGCCAAATTGAACTTACTCATAACTTTATTATCAGCGTCTGATCTACTAGATCTTGAAATTTTTACTAAGTCACCAATATTATATTTTATTAATCTATTTCGCTTATCAAATTTTGTGTTTCTTATTCAACTTGCCTCTTTTAAATTTTTACGCACTTGTCGTCTAATCTGTTCGACATTATGTTTGTCTTTACTTTTGGAAATTACTTTGTCAAAAGACATCTCATTAGACTCACCATAAAGAATCTCACAAGGCGTGAAGCCTGTACTATTGTGATAAGAATTATTATACAATTCTTCTAATTTCGGCAATATTAACGCCCAATCTTTGTGGTTAGTATGACAAAGCGTCCTAAATAATCTGCTCAACTCTTTATTTACTCGCTCTGTTGTATTTGGTCTAGGATTTCTAACTGTGGTGTATATTGGCTTTATATTTAATTCACTCATTGATTGTTTCCAGTGATTACTTACGAACTGTTTTCCATTATCTGTCATTATTGCCTTGGGCTTTATAATCTCAACAAAATGCTTTACTTTTGTTACAACAGACTTTGCTGTTGACTGTTTTAAAGGATATAATTTGATAAATTTACTGAATGAATCTTGAATGACAAATATGAAAGTGTACCCAAAGGTACCTGATACAAGTGGTCCATATAAGTCTGCCATGACTATATCGCCAATGTTTTCTGTTATTATAGATTTGCAGGGACTCACATATGTTATATTGCTTTTCTTAGATAACTGACATAAATGACAAGCCCTTAATTGGTTTTTAATATCTTTTGTTAAACCTTTCCAAAAGAATCTGTCTCTCACATATTTAATTACCTTATAGGGTCCTTGATGACCCATTTCGACATGCACTTGATTTATAATATCTTGTCTCAATGCTTTAGGTAAATATATTACTTCTTGTAAATTCGTTTTGTAATATAATACATCATTTTTCAAACTATATCTTTTAAATTTATTGTTTTGTTTTATTATGGAAGTATTTAATGTCTTTAACTTTTCAATAATAGCCAACGACTCTGAATCTTGTAATTGATATACTGTTAAGGATTTTAATTTTTCTATCAACTCAATATTCGCTTCGCTCTCTGTGTAAGCAATTTCTAAACTATTATTTTTATCCTCTTGTATTAAATCGCCATCAGGAGGATAACGTGATAGCACATCTGCAACAATATTACGTCTACCCGATATATGCTATACTTCATAATTAAATTGTTCTATATACAAAATCCATCGGGTTACTCTACCATTGAATAACTTCATATTATTAATAAACAATAATGCTTAATGATCAGTTAGTATTATTACTTTACTGCCCCGCAAATATGTTTCAAATTTCTTAAGGCAGCTTATTACAGCATAAAACTCTTGTTCAGTAACAGACCAATTTAATTCGGGGCCTTTTAAGGCTTTACTATAATAGCCTAAAATTCTCATTTCATTATTATCATCTATCTGATATAGTACTCCGGCCATACCCACACCGGAACAATCTGTTTGTAAATAATACGGCTTATTAAAGTCTGGATGATGCAATTGTATTGTATTAATAAATTGTTGTTTTATAAAATCAAATGCCTTCTGTTCTTTACCGCTCCATTGGAACTTTCGTCCCTTTTTAAGTAAATCACAGAGCGGTATTATGCTCTCGCTGTAATTTGGTATAAACCTTCTATAAAAATTGCATAGACCTAAAAAGGCCCTTAATTGTTTAATCTTTTTAGGTGCTGGAAACTCTTGGATCGCTCGAATCTTATCGGGATCTGTCTTTATGCAATAAAACCCAGCATTTTAATTTCTTTACAAATAAATTCACATTTCTGCAAGTTACACGTTAAGCCAGCTTTGTTCAATTTACTTAAAACAATATCAATGTGCTCCAAATGTTTATCTAACGTTCCTGTTGTAATAATGGCTAGATCATCTAAATAGTTCACACAAAATTCTTGGACTTCTGGTCCTAATATTAAATTCATGGCTCTGCTAAAGCTTCCTACTGATGTTTTTAATCCTTGCGGCAAAACATTATATACATATGACTTTCCATTGAATGTGAATCCAGTATATTTTCTACCATCTTTATTTATCGGAATTTGAAAATATGCATTATTTAAGTCAATGGTAGTGATATAATTCGCTCCGTGAAATGAATTCAAAACATCTAATTGTATAGGTGGTTTCTCTGTTTCTGCAACCATTTTCTTATTTATGCTTCTGGCATCAAGCAGAACTCTAATTGAGCCGTCTTTTTTAAGAGTGAATGTCAATGGACTACTGTAAGGCGTTGATGTCCTTGTGATGATACCAGCTTGTTCCATTTCATTTAACTTTTCTTCCATTTTCGCTCTATATGCATATGGAATGGGATAGGACCTAGTAACTATAGGTTCATCATCGATCATTTCAATTTTATGCTCATAGCAATTGGCTCTTCCCAATTTGCTCGAAAACATATTCTTATGCTTTTCCAAAACCTTACTAAGTTTTGCCCTTTCAGAGACCTCCAATGTAGATCCTATTTTTATATTTATTAAGGGATCATCGGTACATTGTTTGATGCAGTTATTATGTAATACAGATTTATTATTATATTTGAAAGGTATAAAGTAGTCTTTGTTTTTCACTTTAAATTCTATTCCAACAGTAGTATTTCTCAAATCAATCAATATTTTATTTCTCTTGAGCCAGTCAAAGCCTAATATTAAAGGTCTTATTAAATTACCTACAATTAAAGTTTGTGTTTCAAAGACTACTTCATCTATCTTTATAGGCAATATGATCATCTGTTGTATTTTTGTGCTGCGCTGCCCAACAGCACCTTTTATTTGCATTGCTTTAACTGGCATTATTGATATTTTACGATTATTTTCTTTAATTTGTAAATATAAACTTTCTGAAATGCATGTAACATCGCTCCCAGTGTCGAGGAGCGCGTCTATTTCTTTGTCAAATATTGAAACTTTAATTTCAGATCTCATATTCCCTATAAATTCCCTTTGATATTTATCTTCGTCTTCCTCGAAGACGGTTTGCACGAATAACTCCGTTATGGGCAAGTCCGACCTGGCTTTTAAGGTGTTTAATATGCTATTTACATTGTCGTTATAACCAAGGCCTTCTCTGTTAAAATTTGCTTTTAAAGTAATAGGTTTTCGCAACCCTCTATTGTTTTTACCCAATGTTTGACCAGGTCGCCAACCCAGCTTTAATAACATATTTAATGCTTTGTTCCCTTTTACATTGTAAGGGGTCGAATCGGGAACTAGTTCGACCTCTACAGCTCTAAATTTGGCTCAGGAGCCGTAACATCAGGTTGGTCATTAGTGAAATGTATTTCATGTACTTCATTAACCTTCTTTTTTCCCTCTTCGGGTTTACGCCATGTTTTGTATGATTGTTGTATTTCTTTATGTTTTTGCTCCGTATTATTATTAAACTTCCTCCTTTTCTCATTATAGTAAGGTTCACGACCTTCATCTTGTTTGTCGATGTCATCTAAGTTTCTTAAGAAATCTGTCGTGTCTATTATTGTCTCAATTTTAGCTATTCTCCATAATTGCTGCACAGTTTTAGGATAATGTCTGATGACATCAGTTACTAATTGTTTTTCAGGTATCGGATATGATAATGTTTGTGCCTTCTCAACAACATAAAGAAAATAACTAACCATGGTGGGGTGTGTACTTCTATTCCATTTATTTTGCACAAGGAATCTCTTTACTTTATTTTGTTCTTCTTCACCCCAAAACACTCTTAGGAAGTCAGCTTTAAAATCATCAAAAGTTGTCCAACGCACATTATTAATGCGAGCCCAATACTTGGCTTCACCTACTAAGCACTCTTGTGCAATCGAAATTTCGAGACCATTAGATGGAACTTTCTTTAAATAATCGGTGAGATCTTCCAAAAATGATACTGGATGAGTATTTCCATTTCCAAATTTCGGCTTTTCTATTGTTACATTATGTACATTATATACAATATTTTGCCTAGGATCATTTACATGAGAGGTGCTCGCCCCGGACACCTCTTCATTAATTTCTGAAGCATTTTCATCTCATCTTTAGGCTTAGCCTTAACTGAGGTTGATTTTTTCTTATTTTTAGCCATTTTAATTTTTATTTCCACTTTTTTTTTTTTACACCTGTTGTGTCCTTCACTTAGTTTAATTGAGTCTTTCCACTTATTTCACTTTATAATATTTAGTATTGCAGTGTTTTTTTTTTTTTTTTTTTTTTTTTTTTTTTTTTTTTTTTTTTTTTTTTTACACCTGTTGTGTCCTTCACTTAGTGTAATTGAGTCTTTTCACATTATTTCACTTTTTATTATTTCGCTCCGTTATGCACACACCTATATTATTACTCAATTTTAATATTTAAGCCCCACCCCCAGACTCTCAACCACCCCCAGCAAACACCACTCTCCAAGACACCTCTCCATTTCACGGACAACAAATTGTAGGCATATAGCCTACCTCATAATTTTATATTACCGGCCTCCTATTTAAAATTTAACCTCTATCCTGGTCACGGCACCAAATTGTAACGAACCCCCCCCCCATCTTTTTTCTTTTCTACTATATCCCACTTATACTTGTATTTCTTTAGAATCTATATCTGTAAGATATATAAATACATCTAATTTACGTGACCAGTATAACTTGATCTTTCTAAAGGTTTAAATATAGGCCGTTTAATAAATTTATGGCGTGATCGTCTTAGTTAGGACCCTTTTTTACGTTGTGTTTGTATAGTAACTTAGTTCTTTTAGGTGTATCTTGGAAGAATGAATATTCACGAGAGCAATCGAAAGCTGTTGGTAGAGTCTTATAAGCTAAAGAACCCCGTTCACGAAGACAGAGCTCAAAAAGGTTAAGAACAATAAATTGTCCCTATTCCACTTGTATCTGGTTCACAACAGTCAATTCCTTATTAATTAATCCCTTCCCGCTTGGAAAAGGCTCACAATATTTATATCAAATACCAGCTACAAGGGCTTCGCTCTCCCACATTTTAAAAAAAAAATGTGGAGGAGGTACACGGCCCCACACACGCCGCGCACGGTGAGCGCCAACCATTTTAATGCGCTCCCCCCGAAGGGTACGCAAAGTTGGGAACTGGACCGTAGTCCACAGCAAAATAACTGGCGAACCAGTAAAAGAGGACTTGGCCCCTTGATAGTGCGTAAGCACAAACATCGACCGAAGTCGCGCATGTCAATGCGTGTAAACGCCATACAGAATACGATCAAATCCAGTCACAGTGAATGTACGTCACACGGGTTAGGCAACAATAGGCACACTGACCATAAAAAGCCCTCCGTGAGCGCCACCACCTGCCAGACCGCCGTTTCTGCAGACGTGATGTAAGTGTAAGGCGTCACCACCAATTGCATGGTCAGCACGGCCAATTGGCCGCAGAGCGTGTCATGAGTCTACCGCTCACCTCAAGGGAATGGGGTCCCACGTTGCGCGGCTTTCGGCCGCAGCCTTGAGAGCCTCCTCAGATTCTCCCTCCAGCTACCACCCGCATGAGGTCAACACATATGCTCCACCAACCAATACAATGGCAGATATAGCCAATAGGCAGTTATAAGATAATATTAATAATTCGCCATCAGAAAGGGTTTGTGTCACTGACGTTGAGTATATGCATTTTTCGATCATGTTTGTCTCACCCACCAACAAGTTGCCTTCAATCTCTCAAAGGTGGGAACTTTATAGAGATATATTATTAAGTTGTTATATAAAACATCATGGAGGGCAGACAGTCTGCAGCCCCGCAATGAAGGGACCCGACTTGGGCAAAGCTACTTAGGTTGTGAGTCAAACCAAGACGCAGAGAGCGCCATTGAGAATAGCGACCCGCCAAACAACCATCGTAGAGACGCAATGCTACAGAATGCAACAAGCATCAATACGACTATCGTCGGGCTTACACCATCCCAAGGTCCCCCATACAGTCCCAGCAGACATCATCACCCGCATACCTCCATCGACCAGAACCACAAGATGCATCGAATCAGGTGCAGCACACACGCAGATCCATCACAAGACACAATACTGCAAGTAGCAGTAAGCATCAATGCAACTATCATACGGATGGCGCCCCCTCACAACACACCCACATGATCCCTATCGACTTTGGTAACAAAATTTGATAATGTTGTTAACTAAAAATACCACTAACGTATCATAGTAGTACGGTACTAAGACGTCAGTAGCCAATACTCCACGTATCATAGCGCAATTGCACTAAGACATGAAGTTGAGTATGCTTGCTGCACTTAAAAGTACTACCAAACACACTCACCCTAATCCGAAAGATAGCCGACGTATCATAACGCTATGCGCTAAGACGCCGCCCACAACCGGTAGGGGTGTGCGATGTCCACGGGCAAGTCGTATTGCTACAACAAACCCGCTTACCACCGGCACTAAGATGATATGTCTAGGACACATCGGTTAGTGAGTCCAAGTTTACCTCGGTCTCAGAGGCTGCGAAGCAACCTACACGCCACTATAATAATCCTTTTCAAGTCCCATTTCTTTCAATATAATGCTTTTACATATTTGAGACCTTCCACATATTTGCTTTATTTCATAGACCATACTACTGTATGTCTTATTCATATGGGACTTCAAGTCATAACTCTGCTATCATAATGCTTATGCATCATAGAGACCTTCTATATTAATGCTTTGGTTCGTCAGACCTTACTATGTTAAGTCCCTAATATAGGACTAGTCATTGTGCAACCTTAGTACTAGCAGTCGGTCAGCCGACCACCCCATATATATGTACAACCTTGGGTATGTGTCTCCGACAACGCCCCAATATAAGGGAACATTACAAGAACACGTTCATTAACTTAGAAATTTTCCAATTATTACACGAACTCCTTCATCAACTTAGAAAATTTTAATCCATTTTTTCTATTATATTACAAATGTTATTTATCTTTGTTATTGCAATATAATCGCCTTGTATTTATATGATTTGATATATTTTGAACATTTTAAGCAGGTTTTTAATAAATTTAGAGATTTTTTGAGACATTTTATGCGTTTACTAATATATATAATATTCAATATTCCAAATGGATATTTTTGAACTCTATGCTTATTATTTGCATTTTATTGTTTAAATTATAATTTCTATGACATTTTTAAATGTTTGTATAATGAATTTAATTATTATTTATTAATAATAATTATGAGGCGTCACAATTTGATTGATGGTAGAAAACTGACTAATCTTCTTCGGCTAATCTATAAGAAAATTTCAAGTGTTTCGAATAAAATAAGTCCTTGATCATTCTTGGCATTGCTCTCTATCTG